CCTCAAATTTAAAAGTATTAAATACTTCGACACCTTCATTTCCAAGAAGATTGAGGAGGATGGCAATTTTCGTTCTATCCGGTTTCTCATCTTTTTCAGTAGCAAGCATATAGTTCGTAAANCCAACTTTCAGCAACGTTACCAATTGAAAAACTTATTTCTTCTGGCGGCTTAAAACCTTCCATCTTTCGGTTTATACTTCTGACACCATGTTATGTTCAATAAACACACAGTTTAAATTAAATATACAACTTTATTAATAGTCAAGAATAATTATATGAAACATGTTAAACCTCGTGGTTCCGTTCAACAACAAACGCTGACGTCACTCCCGGCCTGTTGCCATCCTCCTAAGGTGTATACTATAATCGATTACGATTATATGACACACCACCTGCACTTCGCTCTACACGCTCAACCATCCATGCTTTGTTCAGCGAGAAAAAGATAGTGGAAGTAAATATAAAGGGTTGGGATTAATGGGATCAGCTCTTCTTGTCATAACTCTGACATTAATCAGCCTAATGTAATGCCGAATATCCGGTTGCTTTGTTTACTAAAGGCCTGGTTTCTTAAGGTCTGGTTTCTTAGGACAAGCGCCTTATCTGGGCGTCAGCGGGACGTCAACGTCTCGCTGACGCCAACAAAATACTGGTTTGTTAGCTCAAGGCCTGGTTTCTTAGAACTAGCGCCTTATCTGGGCGTCAGCGGAAAGTTGACGTAGAGCTGACGCCAAAAAATACTTTTTTGTTAGATCAGCGTGAGCAGTCGGTTCAACGCAGACATTATCTCTCATTGCGCATGCGTTAATAAAGTAAACAAATATTTATTTTGAATTTGTATTGATTTTGTTATTGTCGACCAGTGTTTTAGAGAACAAATAATGACTTTGTCTTAGAAAAAACATATTATAGCTGAGCTAAATGAAGAGTGCTATGTTCAATGAAGAAGCTATGTTTAATGTCAAAATTAAAGTCTTGGCTGATTTCAATGTACTGTTGGATGTTAACAAAACAAAACAGTATTTTTTTGGACAAACAAAAAAGACAACAAAAAAGTATTTTTTTGGTGTCAGCTCTACGTCAACTTTCCGCTGACGCCCAGATAAGGCGCTTGTCCTAAGAAACCAGACCTTAACGCTATCAATTTTTGCTGAACAAAGTACAGATTGTTAATTTAATGCTTTAAGCTAGTTTGAAATCTGTTTTAGGGGATGAGAGGATGCATACAGGCTAAGAATAGATAAACGTTGGTTACTTTTCTTCATTTTGTGATACAGAAAAGTTAACTGTTAGCTGGTCTTTTAACCAAAATGTAAATATTTGCTTCATTCTGATTCAACATCAAAATAAATCACTTTCCATAGATATTAGGAGACTGATATTTGTTTCCTAATACAAAATTAACAGATCAATACTTTGTTCCGAGAAAGGCGATAGAGAAAGTAAACATGAAGGTTTCTGCTTCTCGCTAACATTACCGACAACTGCAGAGTCAGCGGTTATTTTGTTACTTACCATTTGTCAAATTAGTGCTGATTAATACGCCTATGGTGTCAATCAGCCAAAGGAAATGCCACGCATCTCTTGACTTCATTAATTTCGTTATCAGTTCTCGCTGAACAGCGAATAGTAACATATTATATACAGGATCGGTTCCACCACTTTCTTGACTATAAATACTGAAGCAAAGTTTTGCATTGAAAACGAAGCAGTTAAAATTCTCTGCCAAACAGGTGTTGTCTACTGTAACTCTTCCTAACATCTGTTCACACCTTGCTTCTTGACGATAATAAAAGAAAAATCTATTAGTTAAAAAATCAATCTCGTATATTAAATAAAAAGCTAATTATTATTTCATTTACCTGTGTAGGAAAATAAATGGAAAAAATGCCTAAAAACTGACTTTATTAGAAACATTCAGTAGTTTTATAAAAAAAAATTTTAGACCTTGCATTGAAAAAATGCTAAAAGTAATAGCTAAATTAAATGTCGGGAGAGGCTGAGGAAGTTTGTAAGTTTTTATTTCAACAAAAAAAATATATCTCCTTTCCAAACTGCGTAATTCTTACATCGCATTTTTTACAATGCATAAAGTTCAATCTAATAAATTAAGACTAGAGTGAATTTGATGAAGAAACAGAAGTATACACGGTTGTCAACGGCCATACCATGATGGAGCACCAGTTATGTTCGTGGTAGATGTGTCAAAAATAAAATTATTTTCTTCTTTTTAGTCTAATCAAGAATTACTATTTTACATTTTTTATTATTTCTAGTTTTGCGTCTTATAGTAATTTTGCTTAAGTCTGAAATTTTTCGAAAATTTCGATTGGTGATACATTTCATTTGGTGATAAGCAGTCATAAATTTTAATTGCTACTTTCAGGAAATAGTTGTAACTTGCATTGTTATAATGCAAATTCTATGAGTTAAATTTTGAATACTCTAAGTAGATGATTAAATATGGAATAAGCAGTTAATTTTAAATTCTATTTGGCCATATAATACACTAAACTTTGATTTCAGGGTTCAAAAACAAAAAGTTTTTACTTTTATTGTCAACAAGGCAATTATTGAAAATTTTGCATTCTAGCTGGTCATAACGTGGTTAAAACTTTTATTAACAAAAATTCCTTTTACGTGATAACATGACGAAAAACTACGATTGTAACGCTCATAAAAATATTGAAACTTTTTCAGTCTTTGATACAGAGCTTTTACCAAACTTTTAGTGTATTGAATTGAATTATTTTTAAATCTTCTTACTGTTCATTGAGCTGAGCTTAAGTCCATATGCTAATAAATATTTAAGCATAACTTGCTTGTAGTTTTAACTGCATTATTTATCAAATTTTAAGGGAAATAGAAATTTTTTTATACGTATTTTACTGTTTCATCCTAGAATACGTTCAACAAAAAATCTTGTGTTTTGCGATCAAACTTCTTATTTCACATGAAATGGCAGAAAATATTCGACTCAAAGGCCTAAATTGCATTTTTGTCACACAGTTTTAGGTTTTTTACGCAGTTTTTAAGCTGACAATGGTGCTTTATATTTTGGATTTTTTATTAATATATGATCAGTTTGTAATTTCAAGTAGTCCGGGAGTGCTGTCCCATAGCGTGGGGATTAAGAAATAACACTCTTATGTTTAACAAGCACTATTTATTAATTATTTACAACATTTAGAATTTAGAATACAAAAGATGCGTCTTAACGCAACACTAACTGGTGAGGAATCTAAACTGAAACTTTTATAGGGAAAGTCCCAATTCGATTGCGTAGGCGTGATAGTTCGCAAACATAGCCTCGAATGGCTAAATACACGACATCTCCTCCCCCTTTAAAAATGGAGATTTAAAGGTCAAGTCTCTTAGGGGGCCGTCTAATCCTTTGTGATCGCCTCGGCTGAAATGGAGCTTGTTGAGAAGTTGAAGATGGAGTACTTCTCGGCAAAACAGCTGAACTCGGGTTCTTAGTTGGAGATGGTTGGCGAGTTTCCGTTGTTGATTTGTCGGATCTAGAGTGTTTTTGGGTATCTCCTCCAGGATCAGCGGATTCGGGAGAATTATCAGCAGTGCCAGTGTGTGGGGTTTCACTGCTGAAACTAATTCGTAGAACGTGAACAGTCTTATCCAAGATCTGATCGCATTTGGTCTACGTGGCGTCTATACAATGTACCTTGCACATTAACTGTGTAGTGAAGAGCGCTCATAACTGTTCCAAATTTCCACCTTGCGTTGGGTGAACGATAGTCTCGAATAGCCACCTTATCACCTTCGTGAAAAATGCGAGCTTGGAAAACATACGTTTTTTTCCTGATCTTCTCATTGACTCTTCCGACCAAGTCAGGGAGAACAAGATCTGTTTTAGTCCTAATGTCTCTCTGAAGGAAAAGCATAGCCGAACTTATCATGGTTGCCATATTAGGAGCCTTGCGATATTGCATGAGGAAGGTGCTAACCTTTTGTTGGATATTCCCTGCAAAATTCTGCATGGCACGGAGAGATTGTTTTAATGTATGTCTTATGCTTAGTGCCATTGCTTCGTATAAATGTTTGGAACTCTTGAGAAGTAAACCGTGTACCGTTGTCGGAAACTAAAACAACAGGTAGTCCAAAACGTGAAAAGCAATCTCGGAGGCATTCAATTGTCTTGAATGAGTTGGCTGTCTTCATCGGGTAAGCTTCAAGCCATTTTGAATGCGCGTCAACAATAAGTAGAAACATCCGTTCAAATATATGTACTGCGAAGTCAATGTGCACTCTTTCCCATGGTGCACTGGGATATTCCCAATGATGAACTTTTGCTTTTGCAGGTTCCGTTTTGAACCTAGCACAGTCCAAACAGTTTTTCACAGAATTTTCTATGTCTTGGTCGACGTCTTGCCAATACACGTAAGATCTCTGGCAATTACTTTCATTTTTACTACACCAAGATTCCCATGATGCAACTCGTGTAATATTTTTGCTTTGTAGCAGTCTGGAATACATACTCGTTGCCCATACATAATACACCCATCCTGTAAGGTATATTTTTCCTTCCCTTCTAATTGACCTCCATATTGTAATATTTTAATAAGTTTCCCCAAGTGTTCATCGAACTGAGTGGCCTTTGCTAAATCTTTGGCAGTAACGGGTAAGGTTTCAATTTGGGAAATTTGGTATACTGCAATATCATCTTTTAATTCCAGTTCTTCAGATTTCAATGGTAGACGTGATAAGCAGACAGCATTGCCGTGGTCCTTTGTATTGCGATAAATGATATCAAAATTATAAGCTTGCAGAACAAGAGCATAATGCAAAAGTCTTGTTGCAGAAGGGACTGTGAGACCCTTTTTACGTGAAAAGATTGAAACCGGGGGCTTATGGTCAGTAATCAAAGTGATTCTATCTCCTTTTAAGTAGAGGTAAAACTTTTTAACACTCCAAACGATTGCCAAAGCTTCTTTGTCAATTTGAGAGTAACGTTGTTCCTTTGGAGATAGAGTTCTGGAGGCAAATGCTATGATTCGTTCTGAACCATCTGGGAATTTATGGAAAAGTACTGCTCCCAACCCTACAGGTGAAGCATCAGAAGATAGCAAGATAGGGAGGTTTGGGTCATAATGAGTTAGTATTTTGTCAGAGCAAATTTCGCTTTTCACATTTTCGAAAGCTTCCTAACAAGTGCGATCCCATTTCTAAGTAACGGTTTTCTTGGTTAAGTTGTATAAAGGATAGGCCAAAGTTGCTAAATCCTTAGAAAACCTTGAATAAAAATTCACGAGGCCCATAAATGACTGAACGTCTTGAACATTTCGTGGTGCCTTAGCATTTTTAATTGCAGCTATTTTCTCCGATGTTTTTGAAAGTCCTTTAGAGCTTATCCTATATCCTAAAAACTCAATTTCACTTTGAAAGAATTTACTTTTATCTTTATTAATTTTCAGGCCATGTTCTTGACATCTTTCAAAAAATTTTCGTAATCTAAAATAATGAGTTTCGTTATCGGGAACTGCGATGCGTGCGTCATCAAAAAATACTTCAACTCCTTCTAGACCATGGCATACACTTTCAATGTATTTTTGCTAAATGGCTGGAGTCGCATTAATTCCGTACATTAATCTTTTTGGAGTATAAAAACCTTTTTCTGTATTAATGGTTAGGAGTTTTTGACTTTCCTTTCCAACCTTCATTTGCAAATTAGCTTGGCTAAAATCAACTTTAGAAAATAGGACAATACCCTGCCATCACTGGGTGAGGCAAAAATATCTTCAGTTCGAGGAAGAGGGTGTTTTTGTACCTTTAAATGTTTGTTTATCGTTACTGAGTAATCAGCACATAGCCTAATCGATCCGTTGTGTTTGACAATCGGAACTATGGGGTGGCCCAATCGGATATGTTTATTTTTTCGATTAATCCTTCCCTTTTCGAGTCTTTCGATTTCCTGATTGACTCTCTGTTTTAGCGCGAAAGGAACTTGCCGGGGTCGGCAAAAAATCGGTGTGGTATCTTCCCTTAACCAGTGGCGTAGCTAGGTAACTAAGGGCCCTGGGGCAAATTAAAAAATGGGGCCCCACTGCTTTTTATCAAACTGATTAGGTTTTATAAAATAAAAATATGAAATATACAAATACTT